AATTTCTTTATCAGCATTCCCTTACATTGGAATATGCAATTTTCTTATTCTATAATAGAAGGTAGCACTATACTTCTTCGCCTCGTTCCACTGTTCGCCTTGAATCAACAAACTACGTGATGGTTCGGAATGAAAATTATTTTTACAAGCACAATATTAATTTGCGATCAGAGGCCACATATTTTAAGAGAAAAAAAAAACTGTGGACAGATTGTATTTTTATGGTCTTTATGGCTTTGAGGGTAAATTATTTTTTTTTCACTTGAGAAATTTTTTATTGTAAACGGAAGTTTAGCTAGTATTGTTCTTCTTACTATTTTAAATCAAATTTTAATTATTCTTGTAGTCTCAAGAGATTTGATTGTTCACGTTTTGCTTGAAAGCAGATGACATTTACCTCATTTTTCTTAAAATTCTTGTTAGCGAAATTTTTTTAGGCTTTTTGTTGGACATGTTTTAAAAGAATTTAATTTTAACTAGTTTTAGAATAATACAAATATGTATTTTAAATAAACGAACAGCTTATTTTCTAATGTAATTACCCTTTACTACAGAAAAAAAAATGATAAGTTGTCTCGGATGCATGTTTTGTCATACATGTTTTGTGTATTTATGTTCATTGAGGTGGTTACTGATAATTTAATATACACGTTTTCTAAAAGTTTTGAAAAATTAAAAAAGTTCAGCTCAAAAATGAGTACTACTCAATTAGCAAAATTAATGATGGTGTAAAAGCATATTTTTTTTTATTGAAACTATTTTACAAATTTTTGTTCTCTGTCAATACCCGTTTGTCTTGTGAATATTTAACGTGCAAATTGTAAACAAGTGAATGGTGGAAATATACTGTACATTTATTTGCAAACATGAAGCTAAAAAGAAAGAAACAATAATTATACTATCAGGGTATTTATTCTTTCTAGGACAAAGTATTAATAATATAAAAAGGTTATATGATAATCGATTTCTTGATTTTTATTTGTTCGAAGTAGAATTTAAAGTTTGGTAGCGATTCTAAGAATGGCTAAAAGTCAGCTTACAGACACAGTTACTTCCGTTTGCTCGCAAAAAACACAGTTCGTTATTCATTTGCTACTTTTTTCGAAATGTGCAAGTTTCATTGAGGGAAAATTGCTATCTTCTATTGTATATCGTTATCACAGTGATTGAATTACAACTTTATGGGGCCTCTAACGTTTTCAAACGGAATATAATCTCAAAACATCACCTGCCATTTTTTCCTAAAGTCTAACATATATAAATTTGATTAAATATTTTTCAGAATCTGGGGTTTAAGTTCAAAAATATATTTATATACAATAAGCCTTTAAACATAGACTTCTGCTTTTATTTACATAAAAATATAATTACACATCAGTTGATAAAAGTTATCAATAGAATTTATTAAATAAATCTTCCATCAAGAAATGCCCATGTGGTATATAAAAAAAAAAGATAAGTAACAGTTACATAAATATTATTTCTTTAAAAAAATATTAATTTGCATTGATTTCTTTTTAAGTGAATTAGGAAACTCTTTATCTCCTTTATTTAAAACTGAGTATTAAGTACAGTAGTTGAAGTAATGCGAAAATGAAATTTAGTAAGCTTGAGTACTTTATTCTCTTATCCAAGGAATTCAAGAATGATGCATATTAAGAGAATGCATATTAACTTCAGGTAATTTTAGGGAGTAATTTAATATCTCAGTTTGAAATACGTATTTGTTTTCTCTTCACTAGGTAATTAAATTATTGACTCTGGAAAAGTAAGATATTTGAGTAAACCCTATAAAAATTTGTTAAATAATCAATAAAAGTGTGTTCTGCTTTTTTTATTTATTGGACTAAATATTCCATAAATACAGATTCATTTTTAACATTTAATTATTTAATTGTTTTGAAATGTACTATTTTATAGCGTCTGAATCTTTTAAATATAGCATGAATACCGTTAGTATGCATAATATTAACTAATTAACTTAACGTAAAGAGAAGAGAAGCTGAAATGTGTCTTAAAGATTCGTTCTTTGAAAAAAAGTGAATATTTAATTAATAGTTTCTATTCAAAAGGTTTTTCAGTCGTAGTAGAGTTAGATATGAAAGGCTTGAGACAATATAATCATAAAACAGATATTTTCCATAGAAGCATTTTTAAAACATATCTTTTCTTGTTTCCAAATAGGTGATTTACAAGTTTCTATAGTCTACACTAGATAATAACACTATCAACAGATACATCTTATTGCCTATATATAAATCGTATTTTTTCTCCAGAAAAAACAATTGAAAAATTGTTTTTCTTGAAAAATCTTGAACAATTTGAAAATGTGGTTTACATTGCTCCAAGCTCCTCTTATATCAGCATGCTTAGTGATATCGGGTACAGTTAGAAAGTAATAATTACATCTTTTGTATAAATACACTCACAATTGGTATGTGCTAGTTCTTTTATTGGAAAAATCGAATTGTTTAATGATGTAGTTTTAGATTTAGGATCTGAAAAAAAATCTATTTTGCAGAGGAAAATAATAAAAGTTTGATAATCAGTACCATAAAAAGTTAGTCGGTAATTTAGGTATTTTGTATCGTGATACGTAAGTTAAAAAAACAAAACAAAAACAAAATATGTTGATTTACAGATCTAACAGAAATGCATTGAATGATACAATATACAGTTTGCAAAATTAAAAGCGGATCGTATTTTCATTATTCGTATTTTCGTATTAAGCTCATTATCGTATTTTCACGCACCATGATTCAATCTTAATGTATCGAGGGCTCAACCTCACGTTTGATAATTCTTTAGTGCAGACGATATTTCAAGTTTTGAAATCAAACCAAAAACCATACTTTTTCTGATTAAACATACCTTTTTATATGGACTATCAAAATATGGCGGGTAGCCGAAATAGTAAAAATAGATTCTGAATATTTTGGTCAGGAGAACTGTCGAGAGTTTAAAATATTTAATGTTATTTTCACTTGTAACGTATTTCGCCATATCACGGAAACTGAAGAGAATCGAATAGTTATTAAACATTATATTTTGCATGGAAGTATTTTTAGATAAGCGGATTACATAATTGGGCGAAATTTTTTTTTCTAATCGCTTAAAAATATCTAGAGGAAGCCAGACACACAAAAAAGTAAAAATAACATCAAGGTTTACGAGCTCTCGATAGCTGTCCAGAAAAAAATTAGTGGGGACATATTTTCCAGATTGTGACTGCACCCCATATTTTGACTGAAATCCGAATCCTTGTAAGAAATTAAGCACCTTTAAGGGAAGCACTTTTTGTGCCTGACTTCATAAATTTAAATATAGTTTCGACTAATTAATTATCATATTTGAGGTCAGGTGTTTGAACCGTTAAAATTGAATCCTGGTACGTGATAATCTGATCATTAGGTTAAAAGTTATTAAGGTTACTAAATGTGAAAAGATTTAATTACCTGATTCTAAATAATTTACTCATAATTACTGATATTAAGCTAATTTATTTTAAGACATAGTCATTGACTGATAATAAAATCTCCCTATTATTTAATTATTTATAAATAATTATGTAGAAAAATGCTAATTTGAAAAATACTTTTTTTCTCTCACGATGAAAATCCGGTTGAGGCGGCGTGTATATTATATTTGAGTGTGTGCATATTGAATAGAAGTGTTCAAAATAAAGTTAAGCTCGAAATTCTTTTACTTCTTCAAAATCTGCAGATCTGCAGGTTGTGAAGGATATATGTATTCTTAATTAAACTTTTTTTGCATCATTTGTTCAATATCTTTAGCTATTATTTTTATTGCTTTTAATTACTTAAACTTTAGCATCGATATTTTGATCAGGTGATATTTTGTTCATGATAGAATTCGCGCATGAAATTTTGCCCAAGAACCATTATGCTGTTGGAATATTCATTCTACATTTACAGTAAAATAGGGTAATTTTTTTCTTATCTTTACGGTTGTGAAACCGTTTACAACTAGTATGGTTAAAAAACCATCAATACAAAACTAAACGGTATTTTAACCTATTGAACCTTTATGTGGTAAGCAGCTTTATGGTGCCGCAATCAATCCATGATTGAGTGAATTGTATTTTAATAGTCCAGGCTCACAAATAGGGGAGTGCAGGACCTTTGAAACACTTCATGTGTTGAAGGAAATGGAGGAATTATCCTGGTTTCGACTCGATTCCCCGATTTGTTAGTCATGTGATTGACAGATAACAATCTCAGATAAGTCAAAGAATATAGAAAGTCCAGCTCTTCGAATAAGTCAGTAACGAGGGGAACAGCTCTGTACGTTATACCAGAATAAAAAAACTTAAAGTGTAAGCAGCATACTCAGATTTAGAAGAGTGTCGTTTGAACTAAGATCAAAGCAAAGTGGCAGTCAGGAAGTACGTCAATTGTAAGCCGGTAATGGACAACTCATGGTTGCATGGTTGGGCATGCTACTTCCCACCTACCACCATTTTTTTCCTTCTATGTCAAAATGTGTTAGCAGATTTTATTGACATTGATTATATGTATTCTCGATAAAAATTCTCGATATTCTATAAATGTATTCTCGAAAAAATATCTTAATAGTACATTCTTACTCCGTGCTGCGACCCCCGCATGGGTTTTCGCCCTAACGCCGGTGTAGTAGCCGCAGGCACGTTTTCTGGAGAGACCTTCAGCTTCTCTCTAGCTCCCCCCACGGGGGACTTGGAACAATCAACGTTCGCTTTTAACCACTGCGATCCCACCCACCCTGTGTCGGGTTGGACTTCGATTCATCAGGGGTTTTTGTTTTGTTTTTATATTATTTTTGTTGACCCCCCTGACTGAACCGGTCCATGCCTTCATTCCTGCTGTGGTCCAAGAAGGTAGAATGGTTCTTAATTCCCGCAGACAGGTGGCGTGAAGCTTTAAGCGGACACGTTCCACCTGGATGTGCTCGAGGCACGGGTAACAGAAACTGCCGTGTGCCCTATAGCGGTTATCCCTACCTTACTTAGCTACCTGCTCAACATGGTCAGCCACTTGTCTCATGAGGTCAATCAGCACCTTTTTGTTACTTTCCTTTAAGAGGATTCCACTTAAGGTGTTATCACCTTTTGCAAGTTTCCTCCTAAGCTGTTCTGTTAGAGAGCATTCCCTTATGTAGTGCTCTACTGTACCTTCTACGTCGCATAGGTTGCAGTTTTCACTGATGGGAAAGCCTCTTTTATGAAGGTATGATGGAAACCTTCCGTGTCCTGTAATGAGTTGGACGCAAAACTCATTACCAATGCAGGTCTTAGTGGACACCTTTTTGATAATATTCTCTGCAGTTCTACCTTTCGTCTTCTGGTTGCTCCATCTTTCTTGCCATTCCTCTATAGCTCTGTTCCTTAGTTGTTTTTTAAGGAGTGAGAACGGCTTTCGCAAGGCAAGAGTGCGGTGGGGTAGTTTGAGGGTGAGTTTTGCCGCATAGTCGGCTAACTTGTTACCTTCTATGCCTATGTGTGCCCTTACGTAGTGCAATCTCACGTGACAATGCTTGCTCGTGAGCTTATTATATTCTCTCTTTGCTTTGTTTACAAGCTTACTTTTGTTATTAACATCGTTCAGGGCTTGAAGTGATGAAAGGGAGTCTGTGTAGATGTTGCTGAACTTCGCTTCGTTGTTGTTGAACCATTGAAGAGCCTTCAGAATTGCGGCCATTTCTGACTGAAAGACTGAGTTCTCATTATCGAGCCTCTCGATAATTGCATCTTTTAACTCCGTATTTTCCAGAATTACCACTCCTGCACCTTTCCTGTCATCCATCCCTGAACCGTCAGTAAATATTTCAATTCCTCTGCCAGTTGGTCTCTCACTGTCGTAGGGGACACTAGGTCTTTGGGCCGGGTGGTACGCCCATATGTCAATTGGTGTTTCATATTGATCGACATCACACGGTAGTTCCTGATTGATCAGGGTTCCCTTTGAGTTTCTCAGCATGAATCTGAGATATTCGCATTTTGCTCTCAGGTCGAGAGGCATGACACCGCTAAGTGTTTGCGCCGTGGTTGTGGCCACCGTGCAGTAAGCTCTGGTCATACTTATGAGGAAGGTCCTTTGGATCCTTCCCATAATGCCACAGACACCTTTACGGTCTAATCTACTACCCCAAGCACCCACGCCATACAGAGCCATTCTTTCTATGCTGCCTGCATAGATGCGCTTTAGGAGACCAGGCTGTCTCCCGTATAGAACTTTGGCAGTTCTTCTTAGCTGCAGAGTTAGGCTGTCCGTTCTGATATTCATCTCCTTAAAATGGGGGATGAAGTTCACCTGCCTGTCCCATCTAACTCCTAGGTACACAAAGCTTTCTACTACGGGAATTCTCTTTCCGTCCCAACTTAGTTGCGGATGTCTCGTCAGCATTTTTCTTCTCTATATGTCCTTCTATTTACCGGCATGCTAGTCATCTTTGACGGGCTAAAGACCAGTTTAAAGAACTTGCTCCATTCGAATATCTTCTGACGCACTGCATTTCCCAGTACTTGCATGCTTTTTATACTTGTGCCTGCTATGACTAAAACTATGTCATCCGCGAAGGCTTGCAGTCTCGCATTCTCCGGTAGCTCCAGTTCCAGACAGCTATCTGCAACTAGATTCCAGAAGAGCGGTCTGCTGCAAGATCCCTGCGGACAACCTCTGTCCGATTCGATTCTAATACTTTCCGATGGAAGGTGGTAGAGGATGACTCTGTCCTGAAAATATGATCAAACAAGCTTAAGGATGTTATCCGGATAGGACTTTCTTGCCGCTTCGTTTATAATACCTGGGCCAAACTGTATCGAATGCCCCTTGCACATCTAGTGCTACAACATTCACTTGCAAGCCTTTATTCTGGTACTCTTTGATCGTTTGCAATAGGCCATGTTGTGCCGTGTCGCATGACTTACCGGCTCTGAACCCATGTTGATTTGGGTTTAGGAAGCTCTTACTGCTGAAGCAATAGTACATCCTCTGAGTCATTAACTTGTCCAAAACCTTACCCATTGCAGGCAGAAGACAGAATGGACGATACGCTCTCGGATCTGTGTTATCTTTTCCTGGTTTATTAAACAGTACTAACTTTGCTTCTTTCCATTGTTTCGGAAAGTGCTGAAAGAGAAGGCACTTGCTTAAAAGCGACGTCATTAGTCCAGGAAATACTATGTGTATTTCCCTTAAGATTTCCATTTTTATTCCGTCATGTCCTGGTGCCTTTTTATGGCACAGGCTCTTAATGACGTTTCGGATTTGAATGGCAGATCGTCTGACCCGCCTTCTGCCTTCTCTGATTCTATTCGCTTTCCCCTATGTACTGCTCCTTCGTTAGCACTATTATCTCCAGGGAACAACACCTGGAGAATGGTGTTGACGCTGTCTCGTCCTTGAGCCATCGCCTCTATCCACTTCACTAATCTTCACTCTCTTATTCGTTTTGCCTCGAGCAAGTTTGTATGGTAGGGCCCACAGGTTCTTTTTGCTAACTTCAGTGCAATATCTTTCCCAACTCTCAAGTTTCTTCTTTCTTATCTTACTCTTGTATTCTGCTGAGCATTTCTTAAATTGTATCTTAAACATTTGAGCTGCATCTGGTGTATCTGCTTTGAGGTATCTTTTCCTTAGTGCCCTTTTTTTCTTTCGCATAATGGCTAGTTCCATGTCCCACCAAGGTGCCCGTTTAGTTGGGACTCTTAGAAGATGCGTGTTGCATACTTCCTTTATAACGTCGGTGGCGACTTCAACCGCGTGATAGATGTCTTGAGCACTCCTGCATTTGTTGATCTCTGCCATGATCTCCTCTCTTTTATTCTTTACTTTTCTAGCTACCTTTTTGAGACCCTTTGTGCTTAGGTGGTATGCACTGCTGTTGGTTTGGGTCTCAATATTGCCTATGCTGATCAATAGGTAGTTGTGATCGCTAGCCGTGTCTGTTATTAATCTTCAGCTTTGGATGTTGCTTGATAGGTTACCCTTGATCAGGGTAAGATCTATCCAGCTTCTCCCGTTTGTTGTTTCAAATGTTGCCCCTTGGGTAGCATCATTCAGGATCTTAATAGTACAGTACTGTACATCAATAGTGTACAAATATACCAGTGATAAAAAAAGGAAAAAAAAAATTCTTCTTCACCAGTAGTAATAGCCGCGGTTGGTGCGGCGGAAGTGACGTCATCATGGAAAGTCAACCGGAGCTTATTTCTGCCCCAACCGGAAGTTGCTTATTTCTGCCCGTTTATAACCGGAAGTTGCTTATTTCTGCCCGCCTAAATCCGGAAGTTGCTTATTTCTGCCCGTATACTTATTTCTGCCCGCCTGTAGTTTCGATTTTAGTTTCGGTTTCTGTTTATTATTTAATTTATTAGTTTTTTGAGGGTGGCAACACTTATTAATTTTAATATTAGTTTCTAAGGATGGCAACACTTAGAAACTTTGTTATTTGGGGTGAGATATTGTATATTATGAAGTAATGACGTCATCTTTTATTACATAACACATAAATGATATCATGCTTTTGATCTAGTGGCGCCATCTATGTGGGAATAAAATAACTTTAAATCTATTTTAATATTTAAATCTGTTTTATTATTATTTATTAAATATAATTAAGGCTGAGGATCGAACTCGCGCCAATCAAAAAGCCTTCGTGGGTCAGTAGTTGGATATCATAACCACTGACCCACGAATGCTTGGTTAGATATGTGTTAATAAGTTTAACTTTTGTATTTTGAACACGTGTATAAATAAAAAGGGTTTGATATCGATATCTTAATACAGTTTAATCGATATAGTTTCACTTAACCTTTGATAGTTATTAAATAATTATTTCTGCCCCTCTTAATGTTATTATAACTTTCTCTGGATGGCAACGGTTGTGACCATACACGTGTTAATTATTACATAATAAATAATAATAATAAAACATATTTGAATATTAAAAGTATTAGACTGAAAGGCATATTAATTTTAAATCAATGAATGTTATTTTTATAAGATTAGATATTTATCAATTAAGTATACAATTGCAGATTTTATTTTATCACCTTCGTTTGGATTTACGGCTATCAATGTAATCTTGTCATAACCCAGAAGACAAGGGAACTCCTAGATCTTTAGATAATACATGTCTTCGAAGAGGACTTTGTGAGTGCTCACGTTATATGAAGAGGAAAACCACGAAAAACTTCCTACGCTTAGTGCAATGACAAGTAGGGGTCGTGAAAACTGTACAGATGGTTTTGATAGCACTCAATTTTTAGTTTTGCAAGAGCTCCAACACATATTAATATAGATATTTAAGAAATATAAATTTCATTAATTTTATATTTATTTTTATGAAAAAAATTATTATCTAATTAAAAAACTAATATATATCTACAGTGTTTATTCATTCATATTTTAAAATACAATAATAAACTTGTTTCATCTTTAAACTTATAATTTATCAACTGATATAATTTAATTATTATATTTAAATATTTATTTTTTTTAATCTCATGCAAAAATATTTGAATTTATTTTATTTTCTATTAGAAAATGAATAACGACATATTTACATTATATTATATATCAAATTTCCTTAAAATTACAAATGAATTAATTTAAATCTAAGAAACATGTCATGGGAATTTTTGCCGCTTTAATTTCATTTATATTCAAAAACATATTCATTTTATTATTATTCAATATTATAATAATTCAATTAACATGCTTTATTTTCAAATTGAGAGTACATTTAAAAAGTATCTTTAACGGATACTGATTACGGAACTTGAACAGATCAATTTCTCACAAAATTTTACACCGATAATTTCTGTCCGGGACGTTTGGGGGTTTATCCACGTTTTATCAATTAGTCATAATATAAAGTATAACATAGTGCTTCATACTGATTACAGAGCGAAGATTTCTCATGAAATTTTAGAAGATAAATTTTACTATGCGACATTTGAGTTTTATCCGGTGTGGTACATTTTTATCACTGATTATTGAGCGTGGGATTATAACAATTTCTCACAAAATTTAACATGATAGATTTACTTATCCTTTGAGTTTAATCTGTATTTTATTAGTTAATCACAACTGTAAGGATATAGTTTATCTATATACACGAGGGTATGGGAAGGACATAGTTAGAGCTTATCTATGAGCAATAGTGATGATAACAATCAGTATATATAGAGCAGCTTCACGGATAGTAATTATGTTGGAAATATTATTCCATGTGTAGTGGTTTTGTTGGAGTTAGTTTATTTTTTCAGAGTATTATTCTTTTCGGTGTATTCGTCTTATATAGGATAAACTATGTCAAAGCGGTCAAGAGACTCTGAAAAAGTAAGAAATATTTCTTTCATTATTTTACTAAACAATTTTTATTTAAATTATATTTTTCTATATTGTCAAAATTATGTGAAGCATCTTAAATACAATTATTTGTAGTTTATCTTAAAGTTTATTTAATTTTACTTACTATTAAATATTTTTTCTGTATGTCGGTTCTGAACCTATACCATTAAGTTTAGTTATTTGAGTTTTATCTTTAAGTTTTGATTTATTTATTGAATTTAATTTTAATGGTTTAACTGTATATTTGAAGGAAAAATTGTTTTTATTTATGATACAACTACATATTTGAATTAATAATTTATTTGCGTTTACTTATTAATTTTATTTTTAACATTAACGAGTTAATTTTTTTCTGATTACTTCCATTTGTTAATTTAATTTTAAAGATTTTGAAGCTATTTTTTATCTTATTTTTATAGTGTGATGATGGAACTGATTTTAATTTCAATGAATCAGGTTTTAATTTTAATGAATCAGATGATGAGGTAATTTTTTAAAAATTATTAGATGTTTAATTTATTTATTTTAATTAGAAATGAGTGTATCGTTATTTACTTTTATAGTTGTTTGTCGAAACTGACGACTGGTCATCTAGAACGCTGTTCGCAGATGAAAATATTGCGCTAAGTGATAGCGATGATTATTTGGTGTGTATTTTTTAAAAAGTTGATTTTATTTCTTATTTAATTTTTCCTAGTTAGTTTAAAAGCAAATTATTAATATTTTTTATATTAGTTCAGGGATACTCTAACTCAAAGTTTCTTGGATGCCTCACAGGAAATTCAGAGAATTGATGCTTCTGAAATTCTTCAAGAGCCTTCCGTTGTGCATCAACATGGGTCCGGTTTGCAGGTGAATAATATTTTAAATATATAATAAATTATGAAATATTAAGTTATAAAACATGTATTAATTACACATTTCTTTTTAGAATAATCCTGGAGAAACTTTAAAAAATGTTTTTAATTTAAAGTCTAACGTTAATTTTTTTTTCTTTTTTAGTTGAATGATGCTATTATACTGGAACCATTGCACCAAAGGGAAAATCACAGATATCAAGCCAGTGAGAGAATATATCGGGCTCGCATAGATGTCGATAAATTGCCTAGTGATTTGATAGATCGTCCTTTAATTACAGCCAAGGAAGCAGTGAGAGATCTGTTTAGATTATTAATGGACAGGACTTTTAACAATTTGAAACCCACCGACTTAGTCCGTTTTTGCATTCAAGCTGACGGACTAGATAAACCGATTTCGACCACCCTGATGCCTGTTTCCGAATTTACGTTGGAGAAGCTCTTGTCCGTAGTATTGAAAGTCCTGCAGAGTAAGGACAAGATAAAGCTAGATAGCGGATTCTTAGTGGATGTCATCACGGTAAGGAGGGATGTTGGAGCTGGGCGTCACTTGAAAGTAATTAATGCAGATGTTGACAGACTTAGGAAAAGCTCAATAATCACCATAGATTTTGATAATGAAGGACTTTGTTGCGCTAAGGCGATACTTAGAGCTATAGCTCATGTCGACCAAGATAAGAAGGCAATAAATACCTTACGCGACAAGCGACGTCCTGCCCTCTTGAATCGTGCGAGGAAGTTGCACGAAGACGCTGGAGTGTCCATAGGACCGTGCACGTATCGAGAGATTGCAGTTTTTGAAAACTACCTGGATACGCAAATTGTGGTGTTCTCAACAACAAATTCAAACAGGGTAAGTTTTTATTTTATTTATCTAAGATTAATCAATACTTTATTCACATGTCTTCTAAATCATGTTAACTTGTATCTCTAATTAAACAAGATAGTTTTAACTAGCAATCTAATTCATTTATCATTTGTATATTTACGTCTTTTAATCATATAAATTATGAATAATGTTTCTTTTATTTATTTTTTATTTTTTTTTAAATTGCTAAATCTTAATTCCAGAGGATAATTTTTATTTAAACAGTAAGAATTCAAATCATTTTAAAAATGTATTACATATGTATAAATTTTTTTCGTTACAAATTATCACGTGAACGTAATTTTCATTTGATTGAATTATTTTATTTTTGGTATTCACGTTTTTTTCATATCTTAGTATTATTTTTAGTATATTTTTTGTTAATTTTTAGATGTCATATAAAAGTGAGAATCCACGCAGGAAACGTATCAATTTATGGTTACATGACGGCCACTATGATATTATCACTTCCCTCAAGGGGTTTTATGCATCAAACTTTTACTGCAAAGGGTGTGAAAAACCCTATGACCACGAAGAGAATCACTATTGTGACACCATCTGTCCCATTTGCAGAAAAACGGAGTGTTCTCCATCTGACAACCCTAGAAGATGTAATGATTGCGATCGTTTATGTAGATCCGAAGAATGTTTTATGTATCATAAAGCGAAAGAGAACCTGCAAAAGTTTTCAATTTGTGATAAAGTATGTATTTTTTATGTTTTATTATTTTTAATTTGGTTTTAAATGCCTTTAATATTTTGTTTCAAATTTTATTTAATTTTATTTCAGCTATACCAATGCCCTAATGTATATATTTTATGTTTTATTATTTTTAATTTGGTTTTAAATGCTTATGATATTTCGTTTATATTTTATTCAATTTTATTTTAGCTTTACCAATGCCCTCAGTGTTCAAAAGTAATTCTGAGGAAGACATGCCCTCGCGAGCTCCATCGATGTGGAACATCGAAGTGTGTATCGTGTGGCGAATTTGTTACAGATACACATTTATGTCACCTGCGCAAAATTGATGTGAAGAGGCCATCGGAGAAAATAATTTATTTTGATTTCGAGACTGACCAGAGCTCAGGAGAGCATATAGTTAATTATGCTGTTGCACAATACTTTAACGGTGACGAGAGAGTTTTTAAAGGGTACTCAGCGCTACAGGAGTTTTGTTCATGGCTGTTCTCCCCTACTCACAAACAGTTTACAGCCATTGCTCACAATATGAAAGGGTAAGATGATTTCTTATGAAAATTAAAAATTTTTTTTATGCATTTCAAAAAAGAAAGCTTATATATTTATATTTTTTCTAGGTTTGATGGTCAGTTTATTATGGCGTGGCTACTAGAGCAAGGATTAACACCCGATGTTATTCCAAATGGAGCTAAAGTTATGAGCATTCGACACTCGACTTTGAGCATCAGTGTCATCGATTCGATCAATTTCCTCCCGATGAGTCTGTCAAAATTACCATCTTGCTTTGGCCTCACTGAGCTGAAAAAAGGATATTTTCCACACTTATTTAATAGAAGGGAAAATCAGGCATATGTGGGTCCTTTTCCTGAATCGTCTTTCTTTTGTCCAGACACGATGTCTAGTAAAGCCAAGTCCGAGTTTTTTGTCTGGTATGAACAAAATAAAGATAAAGAGTTTGATTTTCAAAAAGAAATGTTGGAGTATTGTAGGTAATTAGTTGTTTTAATATTTACCGATTACTTATTACTTCTTTTGTGTGTGTGTTTCTTAATGCATCGAAAAAAAAATGCCTTTTGTTTTATGTTTAGATCTGATGTAGATATTTTGAGGAGAAGTTGTTCTATATTTAGAGAAGAGATGATCAGAATATCTGGTGTAGACCCATTCTGGTAGGTTTCTATTACTTCATTTAATCTATACTGTAATTTAGCTCAAACGAGTGATTCTCACTTTTTTTCCCCCTTCAGTTATATCACTATTGCGTCAACCTGCATGGCTGTCTACAGGAGTAGACATTTGCAATCAGGTACAATAGCGATGGTTCCTGTAAATGGATACATCAACTGTACCAACTACAGCTCTGATGCGATCAGATGGTTAGATTTTGTTGCTTCTGATCAAGACATCACGATTGAACACGCTTTGAATGGAAGTGGGGAAATAAAGATTGGAGGTGTGTCTGTTGATGGATTTTGCAGACAAACAAATACCATATACCAGTTTCACGTGAGTTTATTTTAATGTATGATTACTTTCATTGTATAAAATGATTGTCTGATTAAATATTTATGATTTTTTTTATTTTTAACAGGGCTGTTTTTATCATGGATGTCCAGACTGTTATGAGGGAGATACAATTCACCCTTTCAAGAAATGCCCCATGTCAACTTTACTGGCCAAAACTAAGGAAACTTCTGATAAATTTCGATCATCAGGATATGAGGTAATTGAGTTATGGGAGCACCGATTTAAAGCCATGATGAAAGAAAATGTAGAATTGAGGATATTCGCAGATAATCATGAAATTCAGGAAAGACTCAACCCTCGGGATTCCTTTTTCGGTGGAAGGACGAATGCCTTAAAATTATTTTTTGAAGGTGAAGCAAAATATGTGGATTTCACATCATTATATCCATGGGTAATAAACTTTTGTTATTTTTTTCAATTATAGATTAAAAATTCTATTAATGTTATTATATTTTAACATACTATTTTTACAGGTCAACAAATACTGCAGATACCCAACCGGTCACCCTGAAATCATTACATCTAGTTTCCAGGATATATCCAATTATTTCGGAATAATAAAGTGCAAAGTTGTTCCCCCACGAGGTCTCTTTTTACCTGTGCTTCCCTACAGATGTAATGGAAAGTTAATGTTTCCTCTGTGTAGGACTTGTGTGGAGAGTATGACACAGTTGCGTTGCAACCACGAAGACGAGGAACGCTCTCTAATCGGTACATGGGTATCTGAAGAAGTGAAATTAGCTGTAGATAAAGGTTACAGAGTTGAAAAAGTAAGTTTCATGATACATTTTTGTTGTTCATTTTAATAAGCTAAATTTTTTTTATATTTTGCAATTCTCTATTTTTATTGCAGATTTACGAGGTCTATCACTTCAATGAGAGCTCGGATAAACTTTTCCGCTCTTATATTGATCTCTTTTTAAAAATTAAGCAAGAGAGTAGCGGTTGGCCAAGAGGGTGTGATACAGCAGAAGAAAGAGAGCAATATATTAAAGATTACGAAGAGAAGGAAGGAATTTTATTGGATCCCGACAAAATTATGATGAATCCTGGTCTCAGACAAATTTCCAAATTGCTTTTGAATAGTTTTTGGGGAAGGTGTGTAATAGCTCGTTTTTTTGTACTTTGATATTATTTTTACGTAATGTATATCTTATAATTATTATATTTTAGATGGGGAATGAACCTCTCCAAAACTCATTTGACCTATGTCCACGATCTTCCCGAATTCAATAAGATATTGTCGGATTCTACCAAAAAGGTATATTGTATTTTAAATGAAAAGAGATAAGTTTCATAGTTTCTTTAAAAAATTTTAATTTATTTTTTTGCTTCAATTATAGGTTAAAGATGTTTATTTCCCTACCCCCGAGGTTGCCGCTTTGCAGTGGCAATCCCACACGGAATTTATAGAGCAAGACACCTCCACTAACATCTTTATTGCAACATTTACCACAGCCTGGGCACGCCTTAAGTTGTACGAAGAAATGGATAAATTAGGAGAGAACGTGTTATATCACGATACAGACTCAATTATCTACGCTACTAATGGTGATAATGATCCACCTTTGGGTAACTTCTTGAGAGAATTTACAGATGAGCTGGATGGTGACGTAATCACTACATTCGTGTCTGGTAAATATATATTTAGTAAAAATATTATTAATTTGTATTTCTTTTTATGAGTTCTTTTATTATTAGTGTATATTTTTCAGGCGGAGCAAAGAACTACGCCTACACCACTAGGGCTGGTAAAACCTGTTGTAAAGTGAGAGGCTTCTCATTAAATGCTAGAAACTCTGCTATATTGAATTTTGAGTCTGTGAAACATCTGGTATGCTCATTAGATCAAGATGCTACTATTCCTATTCACAACCCCTCAAAGATTACACGACAACCGAAGAAGAGAAAAGTGGTCAATGTTGCAGAGACAAAAAATTACAGGATGGTATATGATAAAAGGGTAATTGACCCATCTGATTTTTCTACCCTTCCTTACGGCTTTTAAATTTATAGAATAGGACTGGCTAGTGGAGGCGACCCACTTGAAAAAAAAGCAGTGGAGGCTATACCCACTTGGAAAAAAGCAGTGGAGGCTATACCCACTTAGAAAAAAGCAGTGGAGGCTATACCCACTTAAAAAACAGTTTAATCGATATCAAACAGTTTTTATTTATACACGTGTTCAAAATACAAAAGTTAAACTTATTAACACATATCTAACCAAGCCTTCGTGGGTCAGTAGTTGGTTTAATTTTTATATCCACCATGTTTAATAATAACCTGTTTTGATGAAACAAATCACTATGAATACAACCAATCATATCCACAGTTGCACTTAACTTGAAATAATCTGATCTTTTTTTAAGACCATCGTTTGAATCTTTATAATAAAGTTCGGCCGTCAATTGGGAGGTTTTACTGTCATAACCATGGTTTAAAAGTGTTTCAATGTAAGATCGATAAGGATAAGTATTGCTGGAATTAGATATAATGCGGTCGTTTAAAGAAACATCCACTTGAGAAAACAAAGAATGCAGAAATAAATTTACTGGACCAATTTTATCATCAGCTGTTAAATTGGTATTATCGTTTTTTAAAATTTTTGCTTGTACGTGAAGCTGAGTTTGGCTTAGATCAATAAATTCATCACCAGAACCTGATATATGAAATTCAACGGGTCCGCCATCAAACACATTCGATAACGGGTGAAATTCAACCCACTGTCCACTTTGTATAACTGTTTGCGTGCCGGGCATTTGAAACAATTCCAGTTCAGACTTCACACATTCCGGGGAACCTTTTAAAAGAAACGTCATGATGAGTCGAAAATATCACGTCCTCTCACTTTCTGTTTCTTTGATGAAATGATCTTTTTCTTAGTCTTGCGTTTTCTTTTATAGCGTCCACTGCCAATCATTGACTGTATTTTCCCAAGAGCTTTATTGGCCAGATTTTTACCCGACTCTTTTGCTCTATTTTTGGCTGATGTTTTCAAATCTTGGCCTGCTAGTACATCGGACATAACACGTGATCCTGTGACTAATGCTTCTTTTCCAACAGTTTTTGACCCGCGAACAATGTATGGTAGGGCTGCTCTAAATAGACGTCTAAATATGCCGCCCAGACCATAACCTTTTTGATACGACACACCACGATAATAAGGTAAACCGTTTCCCGCTTGGGAAGCATAATGGTCCTCCAACTTCTTGGAACAGCAAACATAAGGTACTTTCATCTTGACTACTTATCTTGAAATGAAGCCTTTTTAAAAAAACACTCAATATTTATAGTATTTGTCGCATTCGGAAATGCAGCACAGCCATCACTTTACCTCTTTCAAACGGAACAAAATCTCCTGAATTCAGTCTGAGTTCGATTTGAATTGTTTGAAATGAATGTCTCGTTAAGGGTAAGTATTGAGGTCTATCATAATACTGACTGATAGTTTCACCATCATGTCCTTTTATTCGGACGATCCGCAGTAAAGGAGCTTGTGTATCTCCGACAATTTGGGGTGAAATAAGATCTGTGTACACATAGAAAACTGAAAAATTAGACCATGCGTCAGCCACAAAGTCGCTTTTCTGGTTACCCGTAATGACTGCATCTCGTTGAAATCCTAACAATTCACCTAACTTCTCTAAATGAAGACTACTACCTTGAACGGCGTTAATTTTTACTCGTTTCGTAGCTTTATTGTAATTTATTGTAAACCGACTTGGATTTTTAGGTAAAGCAAGTTGTATAGCTGATACAATATCGAACATTGATTCATAACACCCCACATCAATTGTTTGCTTAACAGTCGATGCGATATTACCATTGCTAGTCGTGTATCGAAAATAATTATTATTTTCATTTACGTTCAGCCAAGAATGCGGATAGATGATTTCAGATAGGCCTACTTCCCATTCACCTCTTAAATCCACTGGTATAGGTAATTGAGTTTTGAAATGAGAGATTTTATTATCAGGAAAGAATCGCGTTGAGCTGTCAGAAGGTAACGTCACGTAGAAAGACATTTTTAAAAATGAACCTTTAACGAAAACGTTTCGCTATTTATACTTTATGAACATCCGTCACCCAATCATTAAATTTATCGGAATAACCTAGAAATTTAACAAAATATTGCATCTTTCCATTTATTTTTTTCTTCTTAATTATTTTTTCAACTGGATAAAATCCAGAATCGACTACTTTTTGTAATTCTTCTGCATAAAAGGTACCTTCGATTGATTCATTCATTAAATCTTTCAATTTATAAACTATAGGATTTCGTGGAATTATTTTATCTATAACAAATAATTCTCGTGTCCAATTATTTTCATATCCTTTTTCAAAATGACGTTTGGACTTACTAATGCGAACAGTGTCACCTATTTGAAAGACAGGCTTATCATTATTCACCTTATCACTATATAAATTATTCCATACTTCTTTTTGATTATCGATATTCACTGAGGCTGGTTCCATTTTTATACTTCTGTGTTTGGTATGATTATAACTATCGATTAATTTAGAAATGACGTCAATATATTTTTTCGTATTATATTCTGTAAAGTATTTCCACATCTTCATTTTTAAAGTACGGTTAAACCTCTCAACAATACTTGATTTAGTTTCATTATTCGTTGTAAAGAAATGAACTCCTAAATTTTTAAGATACTGCTGTATAAGTTTATTAGTAAATTCTGTTCCTTTATCTGATTGCAGTTTCTCAGGTTTTCTTTCTCTAAAAATAGTTTTTAAAGCTGGCAATACATTTTTGGCTGATTTGTCTTTAATAGGAATAGCCCACGCATACTTTGAGAAACAATCTATACAAGTTAACAAATATTTGAAGCCATTATTAAATTTCGCTAAAGATTGCATGTCAACTAAATCAATTTGAAATTGTTCATCTATACCTCCAACAATCACTCTATTACGTTTAAATTTATGCCTCACAGGTTTATGCAAAGTATAAGAATCTTTAGTCTCTAACCATTTCTTAACGTCACTTTTCTTCACTTTACCTTTCACAGAATTATAAATAGCATTTACACCTCCAAAACTTCCTGGATGTTCAGGTTTCGTATAAACTGATGAAAGTAAATGATCCATAACCTATTTCAAAAATATTTTTTCTCTAATAACAGTTTTATTTCTAACAGTTAAAATTAACTCTCATAAACATTCTTAAAAAATAACGGTATACAATAATTTCAATAAAATTAAATAATAATACCTATTTAAGTATAAAATAGTTTTCCTTATTGTATTGCAGCAATAATTTTTTCTTCTTCTATTTTAAGAACCTGAAAAAAGTATTATTTTGAAAAAGAAAATTCATGCCTGCTGAAAAAAAGAAATCTCGTTTCCTCTGAAAACAAAAGTTCACAGTAATTTTTACAAAATATAAAAATAACAACAAAATATTTTAAAACTTAAGTTATTTTATTTGCAAAAATCATTTTTAGCAGCAGTTAATAAAGTATCTAATTTGATTTCTTTTAAAAAACCTTCACACAAAAAGTCTTTAAGGGGTTGTCTAAACAACCTTCGTTCACTTAGTTCATTATTAAAATCCAGAGCAATATTCTCCACATGTAAGTCCAAACAAGATTCATTGAAATCGTGAACACTGCACACAACCTGGTCTAGAAAGTCAGCAGATCTGTCTACTGGCTTCAGACCTTTCTTCAGTCCAATATGTTTATACAACACAATTTTCAGGCAATCTTTCATAACAGGACCCGCTTCGTTGATGTCTGAATTCTTTGGCACCACTGGACACTGTTGATGGGTGGATTCTTGAAAAATGTTCAAAAAGTCCACGGACCTGTATTTTAAATTAATATAGCCGAATGTCACACTATCTCGACACTTCTGTAGTTCTCTCCACTGTTTGAAACTGATTTCCGTCTCGTGCTTGTATACGCGGCCACTTCTGCAGGTATATTCGTCCACTAGCAGATACTTTCCCTCGTCATTCATCAGCACATAAAATTTTTCACGGGGATTAGCTGGAGGGATCTCTTCCAAAGCCATGTTGATGTCTGCAATGCCGAAGATACATGTCGGTGGACCATGACAGAAGCAAGTATTATACTGTTCAGGCTGTAGAGTTATACCATATCCTGAAGGATAGTATGAGTCTCCATATCTGTTAAACCTTCGTATATGAATGGCTGATTTCTTGTTATACGTGCTGGCCAAAACGAATAAGTCCTCACCAATTGGATAGCAATACTCTGGAAAGTTTCCCTCCTGGAACAAACCTTTCCTCTTTGGTTCATCCTAATAAAATAAAAAGAAACACTTTTTTGAGTCACCAAGAACAACAAACAAGCAAAACCTAATTACTGTTTAGACATTAACTACATTATTTCGAACTACTATTTCTAAGTAAATTGTATATTAATATACAATGTAAAGTTTAAGAGTAAAATATAATTTCTAAGCAAATTGTATATTAATATTTAATGTAAAGTTTAAAAGTAAAATATAAGGATAAGTTTCGAATAGGAGTGTTAAAAACATTTAGTAAAAGAAGTTAAAAATTATGTTTAGCCTGGAAAATCTATTAACATTAAATAAAAATATTATTACACATGAAGATAAAATAAGGGTAAAAAAATATAGAAGTACTTACTTGAATTTCATCGTGTTTTCTTTTTAATGAAGAGTTGGCTTCCATAACTATCTAAAGACTGTAAAACTCCACTTAAGAAATAAATATTAACAATTTTCACGAAGTAACTACATACGCCAGAGCAAAGGAACTTGTTATATACGATAGGGAAATTATAATCAACACAGTATTAATCGTTGCCAACAAAGGAAATATAACTCTAACAGCCAATCAGAAAAATATGAAACTGTCACATGCTTAACTACTTACCAGCGCAAGTGAAAGGAACTGAATTCAACACACACGTCATAGACCAAGATCCAACTTGTTATACCTTATCAGAATGACTCGCTCTGTAATCAGTAGTTGTGTTATCACACAAAACACGTCACACAAAACAGGTGTATGATCAGTACCGTTGCCAACCAGAGAAAGTTATAATAACATTAAGAGGGGCAGAAATAATTATTTAATAACTGTCAAAAGGTTAAGTGAAAAATATATCGATGAAACTGTAGGATGATATCGTTATCAAACCCTTGTGATTTATACACGTGTTCAAAATACAAAAGTTAAACTTATTAACACATATCTAACCAAGCATTCGTGGGTCAGTGGTTATGATATCCAACTACTGACCCACGAAGGCTTTTTGATTGGCGCGAGTTCGATCCTCAGCCTTAATTATATTTAATAAATAATAATAAAACAGATTTAAATATTAAAATAGATTTAAAGTTATTTTATTCCCACATAGATGGCGCCACTAGATCAAAAGCATGATATCATTTATGTGTTATGTAATAAAAGATGACGTCATTACTTCATAATATACAATATCTCACCCCAAATAACAGTTTCTAAGTGTTGCCATCCTTAGAAACTAATATTAAAATTAATAAGTGTTGCCACCCTCAAAAAACTAATAAATTAAATAATAAACAGAAACCGAAACTAAAATCGAAACTACAGGCGGGCAGAAATAAGTATACGGGCAGAAATAAGCAACTTCCGGATGTAGGCGGACAGAAATAATCAACTTCCGGTTATAAACGGGCAGAAATAAGCAACTTCCGGTTGGGGCAGAAATAAGCTCCGGTTGACTTTCCATGATGACGTCACTTCCGCCGCACCAACCGCGGCTATTACTACTTTCACCCGAATGAATCCCCTTCCCTAGTATTGGTCAGAAGAAGAGGGGGGGGGGTGCATACCCGTTTCTGCTGTTTTGCCTCTAAATGTAGTTTTTTCTCTCTATACACAGGGACCACACCTAACCTTGGGGAACTGGTTTACATTATGTCAATGAAAGCTAGACTTCTTCTCTTATGTATATTCTTTGACTAAGTGGCTTCGTTTGGTAAGCCTAGTTGGTGCGATAAAGTTCTGGTTGTTCAACCGTATTAAGTGAAAGCAGTTAATAAACGATATTTCTCGCAGTTAGCAGTTTGAATACCATCTTATGTATGGTTATTTGACTGTTTTGTTGATAACATTTAAATAAATTGTGATTTTCCATTTTATTCTTGAAATTTCTTACAGTGTAGAAATATGGAGGGACATTTTTCACTTTATCAATGCTGTAGTTACCCCTTTTTTCCATCTAGGGTGTAGTCTATTTTGTAATTAATTGGGATAGAATTTTGACTTAGTTTAGAATTTACATTTTCTTCTACAAATTTTAATTTAGTATCTATAATTTGACATATTTAAATTTTTCTTCAATATTAAAATATTAATTTTTCTTAATTATGTATAAGCATAAATTGATAGGAAAGTTATATAATTATATCAAGTTTCTAACTAAAATATAAAGCAATTAGATTTTATTTAGATGAATTTTTTTATACCCAATGATTACGTCTCAATAAATATATTTTTTAGAATAAATAAAATATTTTAATATCAATTTATGAGATTTTTTCCAAGTTTTGTTTATCATTTTTCTAAATTAAAAAACTAAGAAAAATTAAAATAATAATAATATTTATTTTGCTATTAAAATTATCAAGCAGCCCAAAATGCATCACTTTTTAATAATAATGTGACTTTTACGCAAGAAATACTTATTAATGTGCTTGTTATCTGTAACTAAAAATACGAATAAAAATTTTTTACGATAAATGCATTTTTAAAAAAATGTCTACAGTTTATTCTTGTCATTCGTTTTATTTGCTTACATTAATTTTACTACTTTAAAATCTTAACTATTTAAATTTTCTACATACTAGGGAATACTTAATATTCTCGTACAAAGTAGGTTTAAGAAACATAATTTGTCACATGACATGCCTCAATAAAATAAAAAAAATTACAATATTTGTTCTAAACATTTAATGAGAACTTTATTGGATTTCTCAGATGCTATTTTAATAATTTTTTCATAGACTTTTGAATAAACGTTACTAAGATTTGCTTAATTATTCTGATTTTTTCTACGTATTCAACCTTTTTTCATCGTATCTAGTCTTTTTGCAAATTAAAATAAAATCATACATATTGATCATCTACATCTAAGTTGGTTTTTCTGTGTCAAAAATATTACTTTTTAAAGTTTTTAACTTCTCTTCCTTTTATTGGCTTAAAATACAACAATTTAAAATAGTTTATGATACGATTTTACCTTTGTTACTAAAATATTAATGCTTAAGTAATAATAAATTTTTAAGCTTATTTTTTCAACTGTTAATATTTTTAGTTTCACAACTGTGCTAAATTGGTGTTTTCTGAACTTAAAACATTATTTATTTAAGCAACAGTTAGATTAAAATCTAATAAATGTTTGAAATTCAATAGCTTACGTATCCATACAAAAACAGTTTTCATTGCATGATTTAAGATAAGTAAGTAAAATAAATTTTGAAAATGTAAGTAATTCCAATTAAAAGTAATTTTGTTTGTAAAAGATATTTATACAACCGCTATAGATTTGTGTTAATAGTGTTCTTCTCTTTTCAGAATCCTTGAATTTTCTTTAAATATTCTATTATAAAGAAGCTGTCTGAAGTGTATTTACCAATCAGACTGATGTTCTTTTTCAAACATTTCTTTTTAAGTTTAAAAATCATGCATCGAATATATTTTGTTTACTTCGAATTAATTATTAAGTTATAAATTATTAAAATCTGTAATATGTATCTTCAATACGTCTCTAGCAGTTCAAGCAAACAAAAAACAGTGTTGACTATATAAGGTTGGTTTAATTTCATATTTTTCTCTTTAATCAGAAACTTAAATATTTGTGTTTTAAAATGTTGAAACTGAAAGATCTCGCAAAACTGTGCGTTTAACAAGCACTTTTATAGTCACAATTTATTTTCTTAAATAGGAGTTCTTAATGATAAATTAAATGAAACGTGTTTGAAAATTATCTTAAACGTGACGTGATTCTTTTATCTGTGTAATTCATCGAGCATTTGACAAAACTTCTGCAATTATTAAAAATTTTTTTTTGTTGCCCTATCTTAAGCTTTCAATAATTTTTATCACCGCATCCAATGCGAAATAGACTGTTATTTTTATACTTAGTAATTGAAAAAAAAAAAAAATAACTGTATTAAAACATTAAAAACTTCCCATGTTTGAATTCATACTAAAAACTATTGAATAAATAGTCAAAAATTGCTTAAATTTTGAAAAATATCACATATTTATAATTTTTATATCATCTTAATTCTTTGGCTCTTGTCATTTTTTACAAACATTTCCATATTTCAATTGGTGTAAAAAATTAAAAGAAAGTTTTAGATATGAAAGTAAGTATTTCACATTTTTAAGATATTAAAATAAGCTTTTGTCTGAATTTATCAGATATATAATTCACAGTACTTTTAAATAAATTAAATTTATTTAATTTTATTTTATTAAGTTTTATTTTATTTTTCAATTCAAAACGTAGACTATTTTTTTATGATAAAATCACCAAACTGCCTGTAATAACATAGGTATTCTTTACTTTTAATTATTTCTGAAAAGGAAGTAACACTTTAAGTAAATTACTTGCTAATTTTAAAATAAAAGAATATTTAATTTTTTATGTTTTTCTTTTTTAGATTCTAGAGGAATAATTTAGCTAAAAGTCACGTATTTTGTTAATTTCGGTTGAAAGAATTTCCAAAGAATAATTAAGTTAATATCAGTATTTTTTTTTCTCTTTAATTAAAAGTAATAAAAACATAAGTTAAAAACTTAATTTTAAATTAAACAGAACTTTTGATCAAGAAGGAAGCAAAAAGTATTATATGTGCACAAAGGAATGCTTCTATATATTCTTTAACTAATTAAATTATTAAAAGTGTTCGTTAAATTATTAAAAGATTTTTTAATCAAGATATTTCATAGGCTTTTATCTAAGTAGCTCAGATGCAAAATAGACTAACTGTATTTTTCATGAAAAAATAGTTAACTGCATTAAAAAATTGGATGTATAATCAACTAAAACATCACGCTATTTTTCTGAATTTTTCAGTAAATCATTACATACATTTTTGAAAGGATAAGTTAATATGGTTTGCTACCAATTTTCTTTAACGTTTTATAAAAAAATAATCTAACAGGCCTGGCGAATTTAATTTTTTCTTAATGTTAAGTCTCTGTTAGTAAATCAATCGCTTTTTCCTTGCAAAATTTCGAGGTATAAAGTTTATTCTTTTTTATTTTTCAGTTTAATTTGTTCCTTCCTTATTGTAATTGTGGGAATAAAAATATTATTCAAAAGCTTATATGACTTGAGCTTAAGCAAAAGTCAAAGAACATAAAGCTCGTGTTCGTAGCTAACGAATAGCAACGAAATTCCTAAGTTTTGAAACTTTCGTTTTCAGCGCCAACAAATATACAACACAGCTTTCTCTGACAACCTTATTTTTTATTTCTGATTTTCTTACAGTTCTACAAAAGTGGAGGCATAGTAAGTATGATCTCATAACAGTAGAATTCCGAGCTCAGTAAATTTCTTAAGGTAAATTATTAATTAAGTCTGGAATCAACATAATATAGCAAAAGTTTTCTATAAATGCCTTAAAATTTTTTTTTCTTATTAAACTAACTTTGGGCTGCTCACTTTGGATGTTTTCCCCATTAAATATGCCAACGTAACTTAAAGCAATTTTTTTAAATACTTCGCAAAATATATTGTGGCGTTGTACCTATCTAAATTTTTTGAAAAAAATTGTGTATTACTTCAAGTTAAAACTGAATTGAGTTTGCACACACTCTTTAAAAGGTATAGTTGAATTAAAATACCAGTAATTAATAAAGTTTACAGCATACCACATGCATTTAATCCATGGCAAACCTGGTTGGCAAAAAAACTGGAAAATGTGTTGTGGTAGTTTTTGAATGATCCGCAAATTTTGGAATTAAATGTGATTTTCTTTTTTATTAGAAGTGAAAAAATTGATGACAGAAGACTCCAGCTACACTTACAATTAGAGAGCGATTTTACTTAATTATCAACACTATTTCTTAAGATATGATTTTCTTTAATTTTGATGTATGATAACGAAGATCAAAGCCTAACTGGGCTTAATTTTAGCCTCAGAACTTATGAGCAAGTTTATGGTCGATTATTTGCCAAGCAATTTCAATCTTCTTTCTGATTGATTTGACGAACTGATCATAGCCTATTTAATACCAAGTAACTTTTAATCTTCCTTACTGATTTAATGAGGTCGACATTGTGGTCGATTTTTTTCCAAGTAAATTCTACTTTCTTGTCGGATTGATATGGCAAACTGGTTATGTGAACTATTATAAATAGCATGTATGCTTTCAGTTGTATTATAAAAGTATTTATGTTTTTGCAAGAAGACTTACACAAA